TAACAATTTTATTCTATAAACAAAGAAAATATCGGAACCTTATTGAAAATAATTGAACAATTTTAAACCATTTAAAAAAACAACATTTTCAGTAGAAGGTGTACAAACACCCAATGTGAGAGAATGATGAGTAGCTTTGAAAATATTAAGATTTTAGAGGTAAATTTGCAAATATGGATTAGAGGGGAGTATATGCAAAAACTCCTTGGTCCATCATCAAATGGCTGTAGTTGGACAATGTTGCCACCTACTCTTAAACCCTCATTTAACTGCATGTCGATCTTCATAGTGATACAAAAGTTATAATGATCATGCTTATCTCTTTTTAGAGGTTGGTTTTATAGTTAATAGCAGCTTTGCTTAGATTAGTTTGGGTTCTTTCAGGGTTCGGTTGGGAGCGTTTCGATCAATAGAATTCGGCGGTCGAGTCTAAGAGTCGATTTTGTTGAAAAGTCAACATCAACTTCTAGAGAATTCTGCTAATTTCATGGTAGAAGATGTTTTAGTGCTTCTAGAGAAATCTATTATTATTATCGTAAAGAATATCCTAATGGATACTCTAGATAAGTTTTAGTTAGGTTCTAGACTATTTGGTTCTAGAGAATTCCATAATCAATCCACCACTATAAATATGGTTGGAGAGAATGCATTTGTATAAAGCCATCAAGCAACTAAGAAGTAAGCTTGAGAGCTTGAGTGTGTAGTGTACACTTGTCTGAGTGTCCACCAAAATAAGAGAGTTGTATGATGGTGAGGTGTTCTTGTAAGAGTGAGTGCTATAATTTTTGATGTTTTATCAATAAAAGTTTCCTTTGTAAAAAGAGTTGTCTTCTCCAAAACTCCATCAGTTTAGTATCAAGGCAGACGATTAGGACCTGTGTTGAGAGTGTGCTAGTCGGTCGGAGACTGTGTTCGAGATTTAAAGGTGATCATTGACATGCACAATCCAGGATTGTGAAGCTCGTGCATCTGGGACCAAGCTTACTTGGCACGTGAAGGAGAACCACATCATGATGTCAGATCAAATCAATGCTCCTGGAAGTATGGAGAAGCTCAACAAGTACAACTATCGAGATTAGCAAATGTGTATTAAGTCCTATCTCAGAGGTCAGGACTTATGGGATATCGTTGATGATGATAGTACCTCACCAACGGAGAGAATGCATAGGCAATGAAGAAATGGAGTATAAAGGCGTGGAAAGCTTTATACGTGATTTAGACCACAAGAGACAAGAGACTGTTTTCACGTATTGAAGACGTTGAGACATCCAAACAAGCATAGGATGAGCTGGCTGCCCTCTTCTAAAGAAAATGTTGCTTGCGTTCAGCTGCTTGAGAGAGTGCTTATGAACACATCACAACATATATACTCAGCCTATTAGTCACTACTTTCAAAAGTTAAAAGCTCGTACCCTGAAATAGAGCAATTAGATACAATTGCTAAAATTGGTGAAGATAGAATGAGAAGAATTATATGCAGTGGTTTAAAATAGGAATACATCGTATTTATCATGGCAATACAAAACTGGCTAGTTCAACCTTCTCTAAATGAAAATTAGAGAATATACAAGCAAACCAAGAGGATCTCTTAAAACCAATTGCAGGAGTTTCAATAAAATAATATTAATCAGGAGGAGGCACTCTTCACTATAAAAGAAGAGATCATGGAAATAAACAGGATAGTACTAAAGTTGAAGGGAGGTTTCATGGGCAACGAGGGAGCTCTCACGTAGGGGGGTCTCAATGTGTTTATGGAAAAGATGATCGGAGTGTAAGGTGAAGTGATGAATGCTTCAACTGTGAAAAGAAGGGCCACTTCACTCGTAACTATTGACATAGGAAAAACACAGTAATAGGAAATATAGTTGTATCAAAAAGCTACAGAGATGTGGTTTATAGTGAAGAAGAGTGGGGTGCACAAGCATCATCTACTATAGTCTTTCTTTCTAACTTGATAACAAAAGAGGAAGATTTTAACAAGAAAGATATCATGATCGAGCTAGATGAGAAGACCCTTGCAATCAAAGATGTTGGTCTTTTTGTTTTGATGATGTTTAACAAAAAATTTACTACTAATGTTGTTTGTCTAGTGTTTGTATTTTATATTTATTCTAGGCAAACAATGCATTGGAGGTTGGATGGAATTGCGTCATAATGATCATATCAATGGAGGTTGGCGGAACATCGATATGAAGTAATGCAATTCAAGTCAAAGATCCAAGTTCAAGTTTCATCTGTAAGTTTACCAAGAAGAGCTTCATTGAAGATCACAAGCATGGGTAAATTAGTTTATGTGTTATATTATGTGTGTTTAATACTTCAAGCTCAATCATATACACACATACACATTTTGGTTTATATATATATATATATACAGTTAGTGATTCGTGATGAAAGTGAGAGTTGAGAACGTGGAGAGAGGAGAGAGATTAAAGAGAGAGATTTGTGGTGGAATTTGTTTAGTGGGGAGATAAGGGGAGGTTAGTTGAGGGATTTTAGGAGAGGGATTAGTGGATTGGGTATGATTTTCTAGGATTTTATTATTATTATTATTATTTTAGAAACAAATCAGATTTTTTTTAACCAAATCCTAAAAACAGATTTTTGTTAAAATGTGGAGTGGGCTTCCTAAACCAACTCTCTTCTCTCACACGTGAAAGAGAAGAAAAAAAATCAAAAGGGGAAAAGTGGGGATGGGCTTATTTTGAGGTTGTGCTAGCACTATTGGACCTTTAATTATTTTTTTCTTTTCTAATTCCAACATCTTTGGGCCTCTTACATGGAACCATTACATATTTGACCCACTTTATTATTTTTTATTTTTTTGATTTGCAACTTTGAAAAAAAATGGATTATTACATGATGTGAATCATGATTGATCTTGGACTTGATGTGTGCTTTATATAGTGGTTCCTGTTGTTTGAATAATTGACAGAGGCAGATGTAGAATTATTTGGGTGCTTTTGTTTTTTGTTTTTTTGTTTTTAGTTTTTAATGAAAGCTTCCACTGGTTTGCATTTCTATAGCTAATTTACTCACTTCTTTGCTATGCTCTAGTTTCTGGTGTCTGCAGATTTGAACTGGTGTCTGCAGATTTATTGTAAAAATCGAATAGACTAGTTGAATTGGTCTTCCTTGTTTCTGCAGATTTGAACTGGTGTCTACAGATTCGAATAGATTTATTGTAAATATTGCAGTCTATTCGATTTTTACAATAAGTCTGCTTCCACTAGTTTGTAAAAATCGAATAGACTGCAATATTAATTGGTCTTCCTTGTTTCGCATTAGCTGTTGAGGGTATGAACTCGTCAATTGAGATATATGATTTGTAGATGGTTATGTTAGTTGCCCTGCAATGTTTCTCTTCATTGAGATTTATGATTTGTAGATGCTTATGTTAGTTGCAATATGATTGAAGCTTCCTTTTTTCCTTTTCATTCTTCTCTTTTTGTAAGTTGTGGACATCTGCAGGGAGGTTTCCTACTTATTGATTTCTTTATAACTGTAAATGATTTTAGCCTGGTTATGTAAGTTGGGGACATCAAGAGTCGTCTGTAGTTGGTTATGAACACTTGAGTTCCAAGTACAACATGTTCATTGGAATTTTGCATTTAGAATGCTAAAAATTAAAGTCAACTTCCATGCCACTTATATACCATATACCAGGTAATGCAAACATATGATGCAAATTACCAACAGAACAAAGGAGTTGCTGAAGCTGATTGATCAATAAGAAATAAAATATTTAGGCCTGTGCAAGCGAAATATTTAGGCCTGTGTCAAGGTCTATGTATTAACTGTTACTAGTTTCTTGCTGCAGAGAAAAAGATTGAGGAGCTACACAAGAAGAAGGCATGTGCAAGCTGTTGCTGTGGGGTTGGAGATTATAATGTTTCTGAGATTAACATATTTGTAATGTGATCAAATATCAACTTGTGTGATCATTTATGTAATATTCTGTGGTTTGTGTATTTTGTGTATAAGACCATAGTTTGATGTGGGGATTTTGTTGAGCAGTGGTCTTATGTGATCATATATGTAATATTCGCTGATATCATACTATTGTAATGGAGGTGCACGTATGTGCCAATGAAGAAGGATGAACTGAACTCCTTTATTATCCTTCCCTTTACAGTGTTTTATATTGGTTGTAGGTTCTATATTGTAAAGAAAGGAAGAAACGCTTAATATACGACCGACTGTTGCGACATTAACAGAGGCTGAGATTGACCCACAGGATACAATATTTCTTTACATGATATATTACAAGTAGTAGTATATCACCATCTCATTGTACAGAAGGATAGATACAAAAACAGACAATCCTTGTTCAACGATGGTATTGAACCGACGCTCTAATTTACAATGACAAAATGTTAATGTGCAGGTTTTTCCAACTTCTCCTATTGATGCTAGGAGCTCATTCCTGTTCCTGAGATTACTTATTGCAAATACCTGAAAGACCTCTGATAACTCACAATCTTGCTTTTTCCTCTGCCGTCCTTCTTTGAGCATCTCAAGGCTGTCTCCTCTTCTTCAAAGGCGTCGAGGATCGTGTGGATGACGTGGCGGTTGGGCAAGGAATCCCAGCGGGCCCAGAAGCTCTTGTAGCAGATGAAGAAGGAGCAGCCCAAGTCCAGCGACTGGTTCTGATTGTCGTGGTTTATAGAGGCAACAAAATTTATAGAGGCAACATAATTTATAGAGGAGATAAAAAAGAACTTTTCTTGTACATGTTTATAGAGGCAACATAATTTATTGAGGTTAGTAGTACTTTCCATGTATGCTTACAAGTTTTATGGCTCCTGATGGGAAGCCTTGACATCAAATTCAAAGACAGCAACAACATCAGGTAGGTGGGTAGAGAGTGTTATGCTGGGAAATGGGGAGTGTCGACCTCCGAAAAAGAACATCCAAATTAAGTCTATTTCTTGCCTTTAAAAATCATCCACCAAATCATAATAGTAACAAAAAAGAATAGCCAAACCTCTATTTCATGCATATAAAAAGCATCCACCAAATCAAAATAGTAACAAAAAGAAATGAATATGCCAATTACATAGTCAATAAAAATAATCAAGATGACAAGAAATGAATATGGCAATTACATCTTCAATCAGACAAAGTGACAATATATATTACATAAATTTTCCTTGATCAACAGCACAGGAGATGCAAGATCCAGAACTATAGATCTATAACATGCACATGCCATCTTGTGAAACTCATCAATCCTTTTCTCTGCAGCAAGAAACAAGTAACAGTTAATACATAGACTTGTTAACAAAAAAAAATCATATGATTCACTCATAACTTCAAAAGTATTCATTGACTAACTAAATCAGGTGCAAAAGTTTTCCTCGTAAAACTGGGCCCAAAAGCATAATAAGGTGTAACGTCAACAGAATCCATACTCAATGGCATAACTCTATATCTCAATTCGACCTTGGCGTTTTGATGTTGTGACGCGGGTTTCGACCTTGGTGTTTTGATGTTGTGACGCGGGGTTCGACCTTGGCGTTTTGATGTTGAAACGCGGGGTTCGACCCTGGCGTTGTGACGCGGGGTTTGACCTTGGCGTTTTGATGTTGAAACGCGGGGTTCGACCCTGGCGTTTTGCTGTTGAAACACGGGGAGGACCTCCGCGTCTTGCCTTGCAGAGATTATCACCAAGTAATCTCTTTTTGTCATAGCGTTGCAAAGATCATTGTCTTATAATCTTCGTCTTGGCTCCTTGAGAATATGAGAGTCGTCAGATTGTAACTCCCGATGTTGATTGTGAAGGCTGTTGAGGTAGAGCTCTCATCGGTTGTCGTGAAGGTTGTCAGATTATAACCTTCAGCGATCTACGTGAAAGTCTTCAAATTGTAGTCTTCTGGAAGTCGTCAGATTGTAACTTCCATCATCGGTGTTTGATGGGGGATAAGCTATCTATTGTGATTTTTATACAGCCTACAGATAACTATTTTGATACAATCACATATACATCAAACAATTATTTACCATTGCGAAGAAATATCCGATCTTACACTAACCATACAAACATGCACAATTTGAATATACATAAAGCCTCACCTGATGAGTAATTGGCTTAAACCCAGAACAATAAGCTCCATTAGGACTGCCCATAACAAAAAACAACTTAACCCATAATAAAAAAAGCACAATCTTAGCAAACACAAACATAAATAATTATTCACCTCCAATAAAAAAAGCACAATCTCTCACGAACACGTTTCAGAGGCCTCGATCTGGTGCTGCTCGGATGCTCGATTTGGGGAGGAGGAAGAGTCCTGGATGAAGCTTTTGGGAGCAGCGAGATCTGGGCTCGCGGAGGAGGAGGGGGGTCCTGCAACGCCTTCGATTTGGGGAGGAGCGAGATCAGCAGCTCGACGACAAGAGTGATGGCGACGAGACCGATGAGGGGAGGAGGAGGGTTGTTCGATGGTTCTCGGGCGAGAGTGATGGCGACGAGAGTGATGGCGACGAGATCAGCAGCTCGACGCGGAGGAGGAAGAACACACGCGGGGTTTTTCGGTGGCTCTCGGGTGACGTCGGTGTCGTGGCAGAGATTTGGGGGAGGGGAGGAGGGTGGAGAGGGCTTGATGGGGGTATGAGTGGACTGGAGGTGGAGTAGGCGACAACGGGAGAGAGATCTGGATCTGGGTTGTAGAGAGAGAGATCTGGATCTTGGAGGGGAGAAGAGGGAGAGGGTGGATCTGGGTTGGGGTCACGAGGAAGAGAGAGGTAGTTTAAATCCAAAAAGCGGTGGATTTTTTTCAAAAAAACCCTGCAGCGCACGCTGAATGAACGCTGGACAGCTCAGCTACAGTTTTCTCTCTATATATATATATATATGGGTATCCTTGTCATAGGAGGAGATTTCCTTCCTTGTCGCCTATGTGGCACAATCCCTACCAACTCACACACTCTCTCCTATTTATGAGGATGGTGGGGATTGTGCCACATAGGCGTCATTTTGTCAAATGCATATTGTGCAAAACTTTATTTTTACATAATATTGAGTTTTTGGTTTTTAGACATAAAAATCACCATATAGATATTTCATTAAGTCTATAAAGTCATTTTACAAAATTTCAAAAGTTTGTTTAAGTTATTTGTCAAAAACATGTATGTTTAGTTTTCATGTTTTTTGATATTTTTGCAAAATAATGATATTTTACAAATGGAAAGTGTAATTTTAAAAATTCTTTTTGTAATATGTTTATAAATATTTTACAAAGTTTTACAATTTTTGGAATTTATTTGATATTTTTTAACAATGTTTGAAGTTGAGTTTTACTGTGCATTTTAGGTCTGTGCATGTTTATAAATCGACTTATGCCATGAGCAAGTCGACTTATGAACTGCTCTGGAATTAGCAAAAAGTTTCTACTACGACTTATAAAATTATAAGTCGACTTATGCTATAGCAAGTCGACTTGTGTTTCCCATAAGTTGACTTATGTGTGCTGTAGAGCCTGTAACGGCTAGTTAATAAGTCGACTTATAAAAGTGACAAGTCGACTTATTACAACATAACGGCTAGTTTTCCAGCCTTGTACTGTTTTGGGTTTTTGGTCTTTTTTGCTTTGATTTTCTTGTGTTTTGGGATCTTTATAAATACCCCTCATACCTCGGACCTAAAACTAACTAAGAAAATTGTTTAAAACAAGTTGTGAAAGAGAGTTTTAGTTTGTTCAAGAGTTTCAAAGTTTGTTTTCAAGTTTGTTTGTGAAGACATTTTCACAAGAGCTAGAGGAGATAACTATTTGTGTTTGAGCTTCAACTCTTCTCTCTCTCTCTCTTGTCATCTTTAGAGAAGTGTTTCTAAATTCTATCTAACTTTACATTTACATATTTGTTTGTTTATCATTTTTATTAAAGCTAAATTTATAATTGAGTTTAGATTTGTTTTATTTATTAAATCTCTTTGTTACACACACCCACTTGAGATTATAGTATTTGCATACATAGTATAATTAGGATTGTGAGAGATTGTAATATAGAGTTAGGCTTAATTGAGTTCTCATCTTGTATAGAGAACATTCATTTATTGTTAGCGAGCTTAATTGTGAGGTTCACTTTGTATTGCACAAATACACCAAGAGGAGTGTAGAGGTGAGAGACGTAGTCGGTCCCAAGAGGAGTAGGGTTGGTGGTAATGCCTAGAGGTAGGTTATAATTTTGAGCACTTGAGGGAGACACGTGAGAGGCCAACACTTGAGGTGGGATTTGTGTAGTTTCATTGTGAGATTGTGAATGTTGATCAGTGAGCGTTGAAAATCGATATTGTGTGGTGTAAACGTTATTCGAGTGAGCGTCGAAAATCCGGTTGTGATAGTGGATTTTTCCCCGGGAGTGGGGAGCGGAGACGTAGGATGGAAGACGAACTCCGTGATTATTTGATTGTATTTGAGTTTGCTTTGGCATTCATTTATATTTATGCTCATTGCTCATATTGCCATTGTCTCATTATTTAGTTTGTCCACTATATTGTTTACATTTGTTTATTTTACCCTTTGTTTATATTGATTATCCTTGCATATCTTATTTGCTAGGATAATTTGTTAATTAGTTTTAATTGGCATAAAATTAGATTAGATTAACATAAATCCTATTCACCCCCTCTAGGGTGTTTTCAATTGATATCAGAGCTTGGTGCTCTTTGATTTAAGGTCTAATCGCCTTGACTTAAAGATCCAAGTTATCTTATTGTGCTAATTTAGTTTTGATTGCATTTGTTTTGCTTGCACATTTTATAATTATGGACTTTCATTGTGCACCTTGTTTAGGCTATGATCCTAGTATTGCCCCTAAGTTCAATGTTTTTTCTTATGACCAATGATGTTCTAGATTTAATATATTTGTTAGATCTAAACATTTCGATTTATGGGAAGTTATTGAAGATGCTTATATTGTGCCTTTGGAGAAATCCAAGTGGAGTAAAAATAATATAATGAACAAGATTTTGTTAGAATATTTACTAAATGCTTTTGATTCATCTATGTCTAACAAGTTTGTTCATTAGAATATTTACTAAATGCTTTTGATTCATCTATGTCTAACAAGTTTGTTCATTTTGATAGTGCTTACATCTTATAGAAATTTATTGAAGCACATCAAGGAAACTTGCAGGTAATCCGACGAGCTTTGGAGGCTTCTTCTTCAAGTTCCAATGGAGCATCATGCACACGTCCACTAGGGGATAACCCTAGTGTGGTAAGCGATTCGGAATTTGATAGTGATATATCTATTAATGAACTCGCTTATGCATATGATAGATTAATGCATGCCTACACTAAATTGCAAAATAATTTTATTAATTTTAAAAGCAATCATGTAGAATTAAAATCCGATCATGAGAAGCTAGCGTCCAAATTTGATGTCATTACAAAAGAAAATGCTATGATTAAAGAAAATAATGACATGTTAAATTTAGAAAATTAAAAGCTAACATATTCTATAGCTAGCTTATCTCAGGCTAAGATTAATGCCATGTTAGAGATAGAAACAATTAGAAATGAATCTAATTCATTTAAGAATGATCACGCTCTTTCTACTTCTAATGTCAATGCATATGTGCCTAACAATAAGTTGCAATCATATTAAAAATAGAATATCATCCTTAGATTCAACTCTAAAATCTTGCATTGTTAATAATAATAAGCTTATGGACTTGTGTGCAAAGTCCCGTGTAAATACTTCCAAGTCCTCTACACACAATGCACACATATATAACAAAATTTATAAGTGTTCTATTTGCGACCGTAAAGGTCATTTAGCTAAATTTTGTTATGATGCACAAATATCTACAAAGACCAATATTAATGCTCCTTGTGCATCCCATTTAGTTTCTTCATCATGTACACATACACATTCACATGATCATACTCACAAATCTCATCATAAGCATGCTAATGTGTTTAAATGTGATTTTTTTTGATCATTTTGGTCATTTGACCAAATTTTATTTTGATTTAAAGAGAGTTTCTCATTTGCAAAATAATTTAAAAGAAAAACCTATTTTTGTAAATGATTCTCGTGCACGCCCACTTGGTCATCCCAAATCATTTATCCCTTTTCATTACACCTATTGCAATCGAAAAGATCATTTACACAATTTTTGTTATGACCGTGATCATGCACCACATGCGCCTAAATGGCTTCATAACCCTAGGGCATTGAGCTTAAATTGTAAGGGTCATGTCCCTAGACTTTTAGGTACCAAGAGTATTTGGGTACCAAAACAAGTTTGATTTTTTTTAAACCAAGATTCTTCTTATTTTTTATTTTTTATTTCTTGGTTTTGAAAAACATATTTTTTTTGAAAATAATTTTATAGAATTTCTTTTGTTTTCATGATTTTTTGGTTTTCATTGTCATGAGAGGTTTGTGTTTGATCAACCCCCGGGTTTATTGCGTGTTTATTTCCTAAATTATGTTTACCGGGTACTAAAAGTCTTTATATGGGTTGGAACAAGCTTAAAAGCTTGATTTGGTTACCTCTCTTGTTTTTTGTCGAATATGACAAAATTTGATATTGGTTTGGTTTCATATGACTTAAATTTTGATTTATGATTTCATTTGAGTGATTTGTTTTCATTTGAAAACTTTTTTCATGATTCTCAAGTTTTCTTTCCTTTGATTTCATAAATCTATTTTTACATTATTTTTATGTTTGAGTAATGAGACACTATTTTTATATTGATATATTTATATGTATTCTCATTGTTTTTTTATATGTGAGTTGTGTTTCACATGTTTTCATCTATGCTTGCTCACATATATTTGCCTTGATCATCATTGCATATATTCCATAAGACATTTTGATAGGGGAAGCAATTCCCTAAAATTGTTTTATACGCACTCATGCTTATTTGTAGGAGGAGCTTTCGCTTTCCTAATTCTTTTTTTTTTTCCCTTTTTGATGTTGTCAAATGGGGAGAAATATTATGAGTATGTATTTCTTGTTTATATGCATGATAATTATAATTTCTATATTCATTTCATTTCATGCATATATCTTTTTGTAAATTGTTTTTCATCATAAAAAAGGGGGAGATTGTTGGCCTTTTTGTTTTGATGATGTTTAACAAATAATTTACTACTAATATTGTTTGTCTAGTATTTGTGTTTTTGTATTTATTCTAGGCAAATAATGCGTTGGAGGTTGGATGGAATTGCTCCATAACGATCATATCAATGGAGGTTGGCGGAATATCAGTATGGAGCTTTGTTTAGTTTCATGCTAGACATGAGGCATATCATACAGTATCACTTTAGTGTTTAAAGGAAAAAATCTTCAAGGAATTTAATGGAATAAAAGAAGTTCAGGGGAGTTACATGCAAAACACCTTAAAAGTCTAAGGAGTCATGTTGAATTAAATAGTTAAAAGAGGTTTATCTACAAAAATTTCAAAGTAATTTATGAAATTAACCCTTTATTTTTCACTCGGCTTGATATTTGATCCTTAGTGCTTGTTTGGCACTACACTAAAATTAGCCCAGGCTAAACCTAGTGCAGTTTTAGTGTTTTTTTTAAAGTTTGGCAAGGAAACTTCCCCGTGATCCTCCAGACCATGGGTATCAAACCCCGGGCGTGGCTAAGGGGCATCCCCTAGTGCACGGCCTTGAGTATTCCAGGAATGAATTTCTTGTGGGTGTTCTCTGGAAGAGTTGAACATTAAAACTTGGAGTAATACTCATAAACAACTTACCAACCCAGCTAGACTTTTTAGGTAGTTCTAGTGTTGGAAAAAGTTCAACCAAAATAGGCCAACTTCATATCTTTTTTAATCTCTTAAAAAGGCCAGAATTGATCTACGTTTTACCCTAGACCAATACTGATCTGATTAAAAAAATAAACCAATTCCGCCCTGGTTATTATCAATTTGCCAAACAAAGCCTTAACATGAATAGATCAGGGCCGGATGGGTTCAAGAGTCTTTTCGAATTGGGTTAAATGTTTAAAGGCTAAGAGTTTTTTTCCCTTTATTTTTTTTTTCTTGGGGGGTAAACCCTACATACAGTGTATAGAGCACAAAGTAAATGGATACAACTTAGACGTAGGCCATCTGTTGTCATCATCTTTGGTAAGATTTCAGCCTGACCATGGGATTTAAGTGATTGAGACAGCGAAATGAAGGTCTTCTCCTTAAGTAAATCCATTTATATTAGAAAAATACAAAATAAATTTGTTAATATTATTCAAGAAGGTAAAAGGAACTCTTTAATTGTAGGAGCATTCATACTGAAACGAGTTAAAATGTTCTACTTAATTATAACTAGTAAATGTTCATCTTATTCCCTCTGGAGCCCCTAGCTAATTCATTGGGCTGGGTTGATATCAAATTAAATTCAAGCCCAACCGTACTTGAATATCTTCAGCCCTAGCCTACAAAGAATAATCATCTACGTCTTTCTTGTATTATTGTATAATAATAATAATAATAATAATAATAATAATAATAATAATACATGTTTATTTTTCGGCTAAATTATCATATTGACATTTATTATACTGCTCTTCTACCAATGTATTGTTTTTCTAGCTCTGACAATATTTTGATTTTTTTTTCTAAGCCAAATGTGCAAATTAGAAAGAAAGCCGCAAATGATCTTTTCTCCAACAATTTTTGTCCTCTCACACTTTCTCTTCATTGTCTTTGGAGGTAATCACGCCCTCTTTTTTATTCTTCCATAAATTTATTTTCTTATAGTGAATTCGACATTCTTACATGAGCTTAGACACAACTATTATCCTTATACCAATGTGCCAAATAATATTCTTACATTTTCCTCCTAAATAATATCACATTAATAACATCACTTGGGATTTTGCAGCTATTTTTCACGGGGACATAATTTTAGGGTCTAATTGCATATTTACTTAGAAAAAATATATTAAAACAACATCTGAGCTAAAACAAATACAAAACTGATAAGATGAATATAAAAATACTGATCAGATAAATTAGCCTTTATTTTTTTTGATAAGATACCTTTAGAGCACTTCTGGGTGGAGAGATGAGTCTTCTCAACTAAGGAAATGATGTTATTATTTAAATTAGCTCTCGTTCGAGATTAGCATGATCTTTGATATGACCTTTACAACATCAAGACTTGTTTAGTCTGAGGAGTTAGGAAAACATAATTAAATCTTGACAAGTTAGGAAAACTTGATCGTTAAACCGTGTTAGCTTAGCTAAACTTCCCCAAAAGTGTGATTAACAGGTGTTAGACGCTAACTCATACTGACTTTTGTGAAATGTTCCAAAACCCCAACGTTGGCTCTTAATCATGGCATAGAGCAAAACCATTTTTCCCAAAAAGTGTGATTAACAGGTGTTAGCTTTTAGTTTTTGCTAACTTCACTTTTAAAAAACATGAATTTTAAATATCTCCAGATGTTGCCAACACCACTTTCAACAAAAATCATAAAATATTAGTTTCTACCTCGTAATTATTCTAGCCATGGACAATCAACAAATTTTCATCAATCAGCAAATTTTGTATATGAGCTGACAACTTATCTAACTAAATGAACGGTTAAAAAATAGAAATAGTGGGATGCAAGTATTTTAGAACTAACTACGAAATACATCTCATTGTCAAATTGTCTTTTTAACAGCTATATTTAACAAAATGCACGGCAATCTCATATCCATTTTGTTATTAAACAATATACGAAAATATCTAAAATATTCTTGGCACCGATGAAGACAGCTCACTTTAGAATCTTGGCAGGATTTAAGGGCCCGTTTGGATGGGGAATTTTGCCCGAAAATTGAGAGGAAAGCTGCCAAAATGGCAGCTTTTAAGAGGCGATTTTGGGGGAAAACTGCCAATAAGCTGCCATTTTGGCAGCTTTCCTCCTAATTTTCAGGGCAAAATACCCCATCTAAACAGACCCTAACTCGTAATTATCAAAACTCATTAAATATTTTGCGCTAAGAAAAATAAAACCTATAGTAAGTGGCCCTACATCATTATCCACAAACAAAACCGAAAAGAGAATTAAAAATACCCCTCGCTTTAAGAGGCGATTTTGGGGGAAAACTGCCAATAAGCTGCCATTTTGGCAGCTTTCCTCCTAATTTTCAGGGCAAAATACCCCATCTAAACAGACCCTAACTCGTAATTATCAAAACTCATTAAATATTTTGCGCTAAGAAAAATAAAACCTATAGTAAGTGGCCCTACATCATTATCCACAAACAAAACCGAAAAGAGAATTAAAAATACCCCTCGCTCCCACTTTTCCTACCTCATCAAATCCAAGAGGGCTTTGAAACTTCAGCTAACCAACCCCTAATCCTGACAAAACCCAGGGTTGGTGGCGTTAAAACCGCAAGGATAACACTAAGCCCACTTATCCCCTATCCCCACTTTATCTAATCCTGCTCCCCCTAGCAAACCGAAAAACCTAAGGCTTATCTCCTCACTAATCCCCGCGACCCATCTGACGCTAACCTACACCAGATGATCACCACACCGTTTACATTGCCCTTTTCAGGAACAAGCAGCTGTGAGCCCCCACCTGTATCCCTCCATCCCTGTCTTAATCCACGTGCCTTCCCTCTTCATCATCTTCCTTGCTTAAACCCTAAGCACAACTTTGCACCCGGTCAAACTTCTAAGGGGGATTTTTACACGTTGGTCCCTTAAATCTCTCAATTTGTAAATCTGTCCATCACATTAGAATTGCAGTGTAGATCCAAAATCATTGGTTTACTACAAATTGGTCTGGTATGTTTGAATTTGATAGAGGAAGAAGAGGAGGGGGACGAGAGGGAATGTAAGGATTTCCTTTTCACTTCTTAATTGTATTCCAGATATTCCCGACTATATAATAGTCTTACAACACCTGGAAAAACAACAAACAATGCTAAGAGTAAGGAAAACACAACTACCCACTAAGTATCAGCACTTTACGGGCTTATTAAACGGAACAAACAAACTAACTAAACTAGACAAAGTCCACCCACTTATCCACGTTTTCACTTTCCACGGTGCATGGCTTTGTGAATGGTGGTGGCACGTATCATGGTCCTAGTGTAAAAACGTCGCGTGGATTATGAGGGATATTCTAATAAGTTTGAGACTTGGATCTCTACTTATATTATTCTTTTAAGTTTACATTCATCTTTAACCTTGTTTAAATCCAACCAAAATCCTCCTCTTCTCCTAAAATGGTTGACTTCATACCTAAAATTCATTTCAACAAGGGAAAAGAGATAAATTTGTTATTTTGGAATAAATGAGTCAATTGAGGGTGTAGCCTAACTTGTGAGGTTAACGGTTAACCTAACCGGAATTAAAAAAAATAGAAAAGATATCAAAGAAATTAATTTGAACTTATATGAATTGGAGGCCAAATTTCAATGGTTTGTGATTAACTTAAACTATGAAAGATTCAAGGAACTAAAAAGATAATCTAGATGTTAGGTTAATAAATAATCCAACTTGAATTATGAAACTAAACAAACTAAATAGAAAGTCTAACAGAGAGACTAAGTTAAAGCAACTACCACGATGGGGTGAATATTTCAACGACACGAGGACATCTTGAAAAATAGAAAAGGTCTATGGGATTAAACTCTTAAACTTTATGGGCCCCACAGAGTCATGGTCCCAAAAAGGGTCCCAATTCAAGTCAATTTACAGACAAAACCCGGTCCAGTTAAGAGACATAGATCTCCTCCGCTTTCTTCTGTCCTGAGCAAGCAAAGATTCAGCAACAAGAAAAAAGGGCAAAAAAAGTTCCCCAAAATTATGCTGTAAATAAATAAATAAATAAATAAATAAACACTCAAAATCAATGGCTTTGGATCAGAAAAATCTCC